CTCAATTTTTTGTACTTTCATAGGTTTTTTGCGAATCTGACGATAAATAAGCTGAAGTCAAAGTCGTAGATGAAGAAGAATAAGAAGCTGGGGTAATTGTTGATGAAATGGCTAACGATTCCACTATCGACCATGAGGAAGACCTATTACCAGCCAGTCATGTTTATTGTCCACCTTAACACATGACAAGCCTGAACTTGGGTGCAGATGAACCATCAACAATTATTTTTTACAATCCATACATACAAACACAAGGAGTATTAAATGAGGGAGACAATTTTCGTACAAAAGAAGATTGTGTCCGAGCTATAAAACAATATCACATGGAATTATCAGCTGATTATAGATTCGACCGAACAAATCCGACTATGTATAAAATCTACTGTCGTAACAATGTGTGCCCGTTCTGACCGACATCATCTTACCAGAAGAGAAGCGATTCATGGAAGATATGGTCTATGGGTCCATAGCATACTTATATAATAACCAATCTAATGCAAGATCATCGCAAACTCAACTCTCAATTAATATACAATGAAATTTTGTCTGTCATTAGTGACAATCCTTCTTTGAAGGTGAGTACCATAATCTTTCATGTTGTTCAAAGATACAACTATACTCTGTCGTACATGAAAGCATGGATATTTAGAACTAAAGCAGCTGAAATGATGTTCGGAAATTGGGAGGAGTTGTACAAAGAACTTCCAAAATACTTGGTGGCATTTGAACAATATGCTTCAGGGACTGTTGTCATCTTGGAGACCTTGAGGGCATATACCCCAAACGGGACTTGTGTTAGTGGAAATGACATTTTCCACCGACTCTTCTGGGCTTTTGAACCATGTATCAAAATTTTTGCGTAATGTAAACCTATTATACAAATTGATAGAACATGGTTGTACAGGAAATATAAAGGAACGCTACTCATGGCAGTAGCACAAGATGGCAACAACAATATTTTTCCAATTGCCTTCGCTCTAGTTGAAGGGGAGACAGCTGGGGGTTGGATTTTTTTCCTAAAAAATATCTGATTACGTGTGTCTCTTAAACCTAACTTATGTTTGATTTTTGACAAACATCCATCAATCAAGAGTGCATATAAGAACCTTGATAACGGCTATCAAGATCCTCCTTTAACGCATGTCTATTACATTAGACACATCACTCAAAATTTCATGCGGGAGATCAAGGACAAGACAATGCGGAAGAAGGTTGTGAACACATGGTATGCATTAATAGAGCCTTCCTTCAGACACTACCGTGAATAAATCATATTGGCAAACAAATATGCTTTAAGATGGATCGACAATATTCAACTGGAGAAGTGGAGTTGGGCATACGACAATGGCCAACGATGGGGCCACATGACAACAAACCTCGTTGAATCAATGAATTTTGTAGTCAAAGGCATTCGAAACCTACGAATAACCGCTTTGGTCAGGGCAATATATTTTAGACTCAAGGCACTTTTTTTTCCATTTGTTTCTTTGTTATTTGCTTCCCTTAGAAATGTTTGTAGCTCTTGCTATAATGTGTTTCCATTTCTACCTGTTTACATTTACTCTATTTTTTTGTCAATTTTTGGCTAAAAAGGGGGAGTAAAGTGTTAATATGTTTATGTTTGCTGTTTCTGATGTTGGATCAGATGACATGACATTATATCATGCTTTAGTGTGATTTTTGGTTGCTTGATGTATGCAACTATTTAGGGGGAGTTGCTCATGCTGCTGTCACTGATTGGTTATATGTGGGCAATGTTGTGTAACATGTTTTGATATGTTGTGGTTATGAAGAACCTTGGATGCTCTATGGTAATATATTACTCTGATGTTCTGAGTAATATGTGTGACTTCTGTTGTATGTGTTTCTAATATGTGTGGCTTCTGATGTATGCACTTCTAATGTGTGAACTTGGATAGTTCATATGTGTCTGCCAGGTGATTTGGGTTTTCCCCTTCAGAGGGATGTGTGAACGAAGGCAGTTGAGGTCAGGTTTTCAGGTGATTTGGGTTTTCCCCTTCAAGGGAGTGTTGGTTATATGTGAGAGGGGGAGTAATGGACCTGTCTGAGGTTGCTGCTATGTTGAAACAATATTGATGTGATGTCAGACCTCATATCTTGACATCTGATCTCTAGAGATTTTTAGAGTTTGAAGGAGTTGTAATTTCTAATGATATGTAGTTGCATTTTATCTCCGATATCCTTATGTTTGCAGGTTGTGCAAAAGTTACATGTAGCTTGGGTCTTAATTATGTGGTTTTATTCTTTTCTCCAACAAAGGACGTTTTCGCCAAAACTTTCCAAAGAGAGAGATTGTAAGTTTTGTGGTTCTTAGATTGGAAACATTTTGGTAAAACATGTTGATAGCAAGATGTTACACCAGATGTTCTACCATGACAGTCAGACATCATGTCCAACATGATGTTGTGACATGTGTCAGGACATGTTATACCAGAAAGTTAGGGCATGGCTATTTTGGTAATTTTAGTGTGATTTTTGAGTGTGTTCTGATTCACGTGTGTGCGTTATCCATGGGAGTATATTGTGGGAATTTATATTTTGACATATTATGTTAGTTTTCGTAAAAATGATTGTTGAGCCTTTTTAGGAAACTTTGTATTGTGTTCCTATTTTTGTGCATGAGATTATGCTTATGATTTCAAACTGATTCTTGGTGAATTGCGCTTCAAGAGTCCAAGCCCACAAGGTCTGAAGACTATTTAAAGAAGATCTAAACCTAATGTATTTCACGAATTTCACTTTTGAAAAATAAGGGGAGGTTTGAAAGTCTTAGGTTTTGAGAGTCTTTTTCGTGTTAATTGTATGTCATCATTGTATCTTTTGATGCATTGAGGTATACTGATTTTGTATTGTTAATTGTTCACTCAGGCTTTTAAGCAAGAGTGTATTGTTCTTGGTTGAAACTTTTAAGCAAAACCGAGTACTGTCTTAGAAGTGTGTTACTTCTACTATTTGTTGTTGTTGAATTATTACTAGGACTATGACTGATTAGGAACTGAGAGGGGGATCTCATATCTAGAAGGTTTCTAGCTAGAAGTTGAACAGGGTAGTGATTAGCCGAGAAGTTATAAACGGGGGAGTTTAGCTTTGAATTAATGTTATCATAGTGAATTTCCTTCTTGGCTTAGATGCCCTCAGGTGTAGGTGACGTTTCACCGAACTGAGTTACCAATTGACTGCGTTATTTATATTTTTGCAATTTATTTTATCTATGGTTTATTTGTTCTCTCAGACATAAGATGTTGTAACATCTGTCTTGACATTATGTTCTGATGTGAGGACATCAGTATTATCTTATGTTATGGTGCCAGAATTTCATACACCATTTAAAAAAAAGTGATAAATGTTTTTGAATGTACAAATCTCATATGTTTTCTATCCCAATGATCACTAGATCATTGAGGTATAAATTGTTTAAAGAAATTGTTTGAGATGAAGGATTTGAGAAAGACAATGTCCTTACTAAGTGAACATTTGGACAATGACATTTTATACACCAAGAAACTTATTCAAGAAAAAATGATAAATGTTTTTATATGTACAAATCGCATATGTTCTCCATCCCAATGATCTCTATAGATCATTGGATAAAGAAGATCCTTTCGTGCCTCAAGAAGAGGATGAAAAACAATAGATGGTCATGAAATACCATATCTTAGAGTGCGTTCGTTTCAAGTTATAAAATAGTATTTCTTGGAATTCTATTCCTAGGATTATTATTTCTAGGAATAATATTCCTATGTAAGTGTTTGGTCAAAAATAAAAATTTTCAAGAATGTTTGCAATATTTATGTAATTTAAAAATTATAAAAAATAAAAATAAAAATTAATGTGGTAGTAGTGGAAAGTTACATTTAGTTATATTTTATTCCCATGGGAATGTTGGATTCCTACTCTTTAAGCATGAGAATAATTATGACAAAATTTATATGTGAAAATATTCCTGAAAATAAAATATACCCGAGAATAATTTTTAAAAACTTGAAACAAACATGAGATTGTTACATTTTCAATGTCAGATTTTCAAGAATCCAATTTCAATTCTTAAAACAAACACACCATTAGTATAATTCAAGCACATATGTATCTTTCTTATTATACACATTGTGATATAGTTCTTCACTTACACGAAAATATTATAACAAAGTTAGACATATACTTTGTTATTTTAGAGTTGAAAGTTTCTTGTAAGATCCTCATAATATATATCGCAAACGCATTATTAGTTTACTTGAGGTGGTACAACTAATTCATAGAGATATGTGAAATAATTCATGACAACAACTTCATCAAATCAAGCAGATATGTTAACACACTACATGAAGTCATTGTCAAATAAAACTTTTAACCAACTATTACAAATTTTTAATATTCAACATTAAAAGAATTAAATAGATTGTGTATTCTCTTTCCCTTCACCATAGTTTTGTCCCATTGAACTTTCTTAATAAATTTTTTAATGAGAGAGTTCCCTCACAAAGAATTTTGCACTATTTTTCATTCACAAGGATTTGAAGAAATAGAATGAAATGGATAATATATTATCCCAACGAGAGTCCCAAACGTTACATCAACTCATCTCTTTCCTTTAAACACTAACAGCCTCACGTTACATGCAAAGGGTCCCAAATCCCATACTTCATTCGAATCACCCCTACAATGCAACCTCAACGCATCAATTTCATTCGTTAGAAATTTTTATATTTTTTTTAAATCTTCCTATACCGTTTATTTGTGGGGACCGTTTAAAACTCAGTCGTATGCTCTGGATGTATTCAATTCATCCCAAAAATTATTTGTTTCTAGCGGAATTTGAATATGAGACTTAGAATCTCGGTAACCGCTAGAACATATTACTATCATACACTGTGTCACACTGAATCACCAATCTCTTATATATTAGTATTACAACAATAACCACAAAACCAAATAGCTACTCAAAATTCATCATCACCTTCTTCACTCCTTCAACTAGTTCAATGGCGAAACCAGTTTCAATCGAAGTTTGGAATCCAAACGGTAAATACAGAGTTGTTAGCACTAAATCAATGCCTGGAACTCGTTGGATCAATCTTCTCATTCAACAAGATGTTCGTCTTGAAGTAAGTAATTCATCTCTAATGTTATCTGTATCTCTGACGCTCACACTGAAACTTGTGATTACATTTAATTTATTCATTTTTTTTAAAATTATAATCATGCATAAGTATCGGTGTTTTATTGATTAATTCTCCTTTCTCTTTTTTTTTTAGCTTCGTTGTTTGTTGAAATAAGAGCTTTTTAAGCATTGAATTTGTTTGTGTTTGTTGATTCAGATATGTACCGAGAAGAAAACTATTCTGTCTGTTGAAGATATCATTGCTTTGATTGGTGATAAGTGTGATGGAGTTATTGGACAGGTAATTATTGTACCATGGTTGAATTGAATAGCATGATTTTGGTTTATGTTTATGTTGATCATCGAATTAGTAATTCGTCAAAATTTTCATGTTTTTGTTTTTAATCATTTTGAAGTGATTGTATGTTTATGGTTAGTGTGGATTTGTATTGGTTCTGGAGTTAGTTTTATGATTTGAGGATATAAAATTTACTTTTTCTTAGGTTTTAATAGTTTTGTCCAATATTGTATTTTACATTGTAACCTGAAACTTGATTATGTATCAGCCAAATCATTCTTTCTATTTTGAATGGATTTTTAAAATAAATTCAGAGAATTTTTATTTGCTATTGCAGCTGACTGAAGACTGGGGAGAAGAGTTGTTTTCTGCTTTGAGCAGAGCTGGAGGCAAAGCTTTCAGTAATATGGCCGTTGGTTATAATAATGTCGATGTCAATGCTGCAAATAAGTACGGTGTTGCTGTTGGAAATACTCCTGTAAGCTATCTCTTTTCTTAAATTGCAAAATTAAGATCTATGATGCTTGATTATTGTGCATGTTATGGTGCACTTGCTCGTGTGTGTGCGCGCGCATGTTTTATAAGAAATAATGATAGTCTTGATGAGGAAGTTATTTGTTCTAACATCAGTTTCATTTCTTGCTTTTTGGTAGGGAGTGCTCACGGAGACTACAGCAGAGCTGGCAGCATCACTGTCCTTGGCAGCTGCTAGAAGGATAGTTGAGGCAGATGAGTTCATGAGGGCAGGACTATATGATGGATGGCTACCTCATCTGTATGAAAATCATCTTTTCTTGTTTCGTATATGAGTTTTGTTAAATATTGTGCAAGTTCTTCTTTGTTAGTCTTCATACATTGAAGTATGAATGACATACATACTCTTCTGAACATTTGAGTAACTAGTTTGGTTTTGTTTATCTGGTAGATTTGTTGGAAACCTACTCAAAGGGCAGACCGTTGGTGTTATCGGAGCTGGCCGTATTGGATCAGCCTATGCAAGAATGATGGTAATTTTTTAATAAACTGTAACTTGGAATCTTGCAAGAAAGTGCATTATTTAGTTTGCAGATGTTGATGACTTTAAGTTGACTATGATGCAATTGTTTTGAGCTGTATTAGGTTGAAGGGTTCAAGATGAACCTGATATACTTTGATCTCTACCAAGCTACGAGACTTGAAAAATTTGTCACAGGCATGTTCCTATGATTTGTTCAAATGGATTTCCTGACTTCAAAGCAAATTGACTGATAATTCTTTTTCCTTATTGCAGCTTATGCTGATTTCTTAAAGGCAAATGGTGAAACACCGGTGACTTGGAAAAGGGCAACATCCATGGATGAGGTTCTCCAGGAGGCTGATATAGTGAGAATTCTGATGCTGAGAGTTAAACTTTGTAGCTATAAACACCTCACATTTGATTATTTTGAATAATTTTGTTTATCACGAGTGCTTTTGTAGATTAGTCTTCATCCTATCTTGGATAAAACCACTTATCATCTTGTCAACAAGGAAAGACTCGCCAAGATGAAGAAGGTACGAGTTCAAGGAACTTTTCTTTTTCTTTTAAATTATCTTGTAGATTAGTATTCTTTTACTTACGATACATTCCTATTACAGGAAGCAATTCTTATAAACTGCAGTAGAGGACCTGTTATTGATGAAGCTGCACTTGTGGAGCACTTGAGACAGAACCCATTGTTTCGTGTAGGCCTTGATGTGTTTGAGGTAATTTAAACTTGTCTGATTTTGGATAATTGGGTTTGCTTTTAAAACCACTTTTACAAGTCGCCATGTGAATTTTTTTATTAGGAAGAGCCCTACATGAAACCCGGGCTTGCAGAGTTGAAGAACGCCATTGTAGTACCACACATTGCATCTGCTTCCAAGGTAACGAATTCTAACCTTTTCACGTTACCGAAGATGTAGTCCAATGTTATTAGTTGGGATGCTGAAGGAATATTAAGAATGAGATCCGTGGTTCCATTTTTGCTGCTACCGAATTCTCCCTCTCCCTAACAAACTAACAAGGAACATTTGCCTATAAAAAAAAGTATTTTCGCGGTTGAATCATTTTCAAAACTGATCAGTGTGTTATGTACATGTGTGTCTTTGCAGTGGACCCGTGAGGGAATGGCGACACTAGCAGCTCTTAATGTTCTGGTAAATCCATATGTCTCTCCATCTTGGGTTCATTCCTATGATCAATCGAAATTCTCAGTGTCTTGAATTGTAAAACTGATGAGTCTCCTTATAATATGATACAGGGGAAGATCAAAGGCTATCCAGTATGGTTTGATGCCAACAGGGTGGAACCATTCCTCAACGAGAACGCTCAACCACCAGCTGCATGCCCAAGCATTGTTAATGCAAAAGCCCTGAGTAAGAACATCTTTCGCCCTTTCACTCGAGTCAAATATTGTTGTAAGTAAAACTTGTTGAAAGTGCTAACAATGGAATTGTATACTCTCTTTCTAATTGCAGGCTTACCAGTTTCGAAGCTGTAGTATAGCTGTATAGGCATACGGGCGTGGTCTCTATCCTGCAAGAACCTTCAAAGTTTGTGTTTAATGGTGGCAGTGGGAATATAAACTATGAATACGGTCTTTGTTTGTATCTTTATCATGTGCTTGTAGTTTATTTAAAACTCTCAAGTGAACCAGGAACACTTTAAAATAAAAGATGAGAAAATTTTGCCACTGTTATTTAAAGTGTCAATAAACTAGACCAAAATGCAAATGATAACTATATGAGCTATACAATGTAAAGTTATTTCTTAAGAGGAAATGGAACCACAAGTTCATGAACTTTAAAAGTATAAAGTTAAGAAGGCCAGAGAATCAATATTAAAGGAGAAAATGCAGCGTTGATGAGAGGAAAAACTTCACAATTACTTGATGCATGTAAAGAAATTTTAGGTGACCGAAGAAAGAAGATTTAAGGCTTGTAGTGTGCTAGTTCAGATTATAATTAATTTGGAGATTTTTTTTTTCCACCCAAGACCTCGTTCTTATCCACCATGTGAATTTTCACGTATGCCCAATAATTTCGGAGATACATTTTGAGACGTATCTCATTTTTGAGTAAACATAGACATATTTCAGAGATATATTTCTAGAACAATTTTAAACTTTAAGCATTTTAAAACATGTAATTCATAACTCATTTACATTTGAATTGTTCTAGAGATACATTTACAGAAATATTCCTTAGATACATCTCCGAATTGTATCGGAACAAATTTGTTTTATAATAAGCTCTGTATTTGTTTTCAGATGAAAAAATAAACGTACAAATTAATAAAAGACTAATAATATTGTGAGTCGAAAATAATATATCAACACAATAGTAAAATGTCGTACAAAATGAGATCGAAAATGTAGTAACAATGTCAAAAATAAAGTACAAACTTTAATACAACATAAAAATAATAACAGACAACTACTGAGTGTGTTTGACAATCTCTTATATACCTCTTCTGCCTCCTCGGTCATCAAACCCCCCTCCCGGTCCTCTGGTGATATCTACGGTACAACAGTGCCCTTTGTGCTTCTGCCACAATGGTATCCAGGACTCGCCTAACAGCAGACCTCTCAGAGAAGACATCCTGGCGATATCTACAATACCCACGTCAATGCCTGCTCGCGTAATCTCCATTATGCGACGTCACTGGCGCAAAACATCCTCAGTATGATCAAGCTGAGCCTATTGCTCCTCTAGAATCTCCTGATGAGCTGGTCTCAGCGGATCTCCTAGAGCAGTCTGCACCATGTACGAATATAAGACCCTAAAGAATCACCTGATGTATCCGTTGACGTAGCTCCAGTCATTCGGCGGTATGGTAGCGCGAGCCTCCTTCGGTACCAAGTGACTCTCATAATCAATAAACATCTCATCTATCTGTCTACGAGACAAGGCAGAAGGAGTAGAGATAACAGGGTGTCTGCGAATGGTCTGGGTGTACCCGAACTGCCGCATGACACGCTCTGATAGATGAGGAGCAGTGATACGTGATCTGCATGCCATTCATCCAAAGTATAGAGATATGTTGTCAAATGTCTGCGTCTGACGGTGATCCACGTAGTTGTTAAAGTGAATGTCCTCAGCAACCAAACTGACAAGGTAGACTCTGAAAGGCTCGACCGCTTGTTTCCCCTAAACGGGATAAAAGCACAAGCGCACGACATGTCCTTAGTGTACTCATCTACACTCGCCTAGCCAGCGATGCGCGAGAAGTGCTGGAGAACTCAAGCTTGAAATGAAAATAAAAATAAAAAGCATTCAGGGATCAAGAGTTATCGGCAATGGTTTCACAAATATTAAATGAAAAAGATTAAAAAAAAATATTTAAGGATACAAAATTATTACCACCAATAGTGTTGTGCTTCCTGTGACCTGATTCGTCCTTCACCGATATCCATCTCTCAAATGTTTCATCATCCTCCATTCTAAATGCCTCATATTTCTGGATTAGAGCAAGCGTCTTTGTCTCCTTAACTTGGGCGTTCCCTTCATGAGTCATTCTTAGATAATCAAAAATGGACTTGTCAGTATCTCTGTTTGTTATCTTCTTATACTCGGTATAAGATATAGCATTTAGCAGTATAGTTCTTGGCTTGTGATGACTCTTATAATCTTTTTTTGTTGATCAGTCATAGCACTTCTTGACACTTTTTGTTCTGCAGCATTAACATGATGGATGTAGCCATTAACAACAAGGTCATAAAGATCTACATCACAACCAAGAAAGAAACTTTCGAATCTATCTTTCCAATAGTCAAACTTATCACCATCAAAGACTGGTGGTTTGGCACTGTACTGATATTTCTCTACTAGAATAGCGGCGATTGCCATTGTTTTTCACACACACACACACAGGATCAGTACTAAACACAGTTAAGTGTTTGATAAAATTTTATCACAATTAGAACCTGAACTCTGATGCCAATATAAGGTGAGAAAAACACAAGAAATGGGGGTTTGAATTGGGGTTACCAAAAACAAAAGCTTTTTACTCACTCAATAAAAATCAACGCTAATAAACAACAAAGAGAAATACACTTTGATTTTTATACTAGTTCACTTGAAAACCTCAAAGTTAATCCAGTCCACCTACCAAGGTGATTTCGCCTTATACCTTAGGACTTAATCCACTATAATCAACTAATTACAACTGCACTAGCAACCGCTGGTGACTAACAAACCACAAAGACACACAATTTATGTCTTCTCAAGGATTCTGGCCTAAATGGCCCCTTAAGGAAATACAAACAACAACTTGATTACAACTGCACTAATAACCGCTAGTGACTAACAAACCACAAAGACATACAATCTATGTCTTCTCAAAGATTCTGACCTAACTGGTCCCTTAAGGATATACAAACAACATTTTGATTACAAAGTTGTGTTTATAAAGATTGCTTCTACACAAGCAGGTATAAACAAGTTAAAAGTACACTACACATAAAGAAAATTCTGCACAAATTTAGACAATAGTCTTGTAAAAATTTCTTCATTATTTTGCTTGCTTGCTTACTTGCATGCTATAATACTTCAAGTCTTCAAGTCTTTATATAGACAATAAAACATATTTGTTAAAGGGTAGATTTGGTATTCTTCATGAATGAGCTGGCGACTTGAGTAACAGTTTGATATGGAGGGGACAAGAATCGTGCTACCTTAATTTCCTTACCCCATGAAATCCGCTTAGTGGAAGGAATGTTGGTTTGTACCATCTACTATTTTTCCCATGTATAAACGCGTTCTTATCTTCTATTCTTCAGTGCCTTATAGATAAATTGTTGTTTAAAGCATGAGTTAGAAGAGTTGATTTTGCTTGAGTTCAGAATCATCAATCCGAAGCTTGATCACATCAATATCTGACTTGAGATTCTTCATAGGTGTTAGAACCTTTAGAGTTTAATCTTCGGAAGCTTGAGTAGTCTTCAGAAGTGAATTGATCAGAGCCACACGTCAGAAGCAATAACTAAGAGAACTTTGCAGCAACAACATACTGTTTTCTTAGAAGCTTCTCATCTGTGAGTTTGAGCAGGAGCAATTTAGATAAATATATTTAGAAACTTGTAATGTTTCATGTTCAAGAGTCAGAATCAATGTTGTTTGCTAAAGATACACAATAACAAACCGTTAGGATACCAAAATTGTTCTCACACAAATATTGACTTGTTATAATAAAAAGTTAGAGATATAAATACATAACCAAATCTTGTTTTAACACATGTTATATACGTTGGATAGCTTTGCGTAGTTGGGCTGAACATATGGACCCCCCTTCGTATTGGCCTTTTGATCGGCCTAGAACAGTCACCCCTAAGCCATGATGGATGTTTTATCAGTCGTGAAGTCTTTCAAAGTTACAGTCAGTATCTTGTTATCAAATCCGACTATAAGGATAAGTGAGAAGACCATGGAGAAGTTGCAAAAATACTGAGAAACAAGTGCATTAAATGTTTTTCCCATCATTGAGATATTTCGCTAATCTTTCAGGCACGTTGGCTTTAGGCTCACAGGTTACGGTGTGGTGCTCTTTTCTAAGGAATTCAAGTGCACTTGAGTTAACTTGTGTAATACCCCAAATTTTACCCTTATATTTAGTCAGTCATTTCGCATAGCATCTCATCTGTGCATCTGCTAACCACTATCAAGTCATGGAGGTGTTTGTTTTGCAGGATTGGTTCCAGGGGTATTTTGGTCATTTTACGTGGATTCCGCTAATTCTTTGAAGACGGGCTGTTACTAAGCTTTGAGACACTTGAGACACTATTTCTGAGGCATTTATTTATCACATGGTTTGATTATATCAAGGCGTCAATCCGATGTGTTCGGTATCGAAATTTGTTGGACACAACTGGATTTAAGGTCCATTTCGTCGCTCATGGTTTATTTCCAGAGCATTTCCGTTTCTGTTAATAAGGCGCAGTTTAATTGGGTATTATTGGATTGTTGCTCATAGCATTTGGTCAGTAGAATTCAATTACGGGCAATGTCATCGTTGATACTGAATCTGTTGTGATTACGACGCACATCCGCGTTTGGTTAGAAAATGAGGAGAATATTGTTGGCTAGAATCTAAGTTGGAATGCAAGTGAATGTAGTCAGGTGATGAGATTAGGACTACAAACGAGACAAGTACATGAACAAGAATATCATTCGTGAATAGTTATGATTTATGACTAGAATAATGAATTTAAATATTTGTGGATTTATTCACAAATGTTTGTAATTTATAACTAGAAATAAATATAAATAGATTCAAAGTTGAATGATCATGAATATAAATGAAAACTTTTGGAATTTTTATTTCATAAGAATATCATTGTATAAAAGGAATTGAATCATTTCACATTTGAATTGCTGTAAGATTACATTTACAGATGTTACATTTACTCTAAAAAGTCCTAGGTCCTAAAAACTCTTGGTTTCTTCATTTGGTTTCCCCTTGAATTCTTCACTTCTTGATTACCCGAAAAAACAAAGACAAAGC